AATCTGAAATTATAATTGAAATTGGATTGGTGAAAGTGATTCTACGGACGTTCAAAGTGACGATTTTCAGCATTTTTTTTGCGAACTTTTTGATCGGTATGCTAATGACTTGTGACGTAGAAAGTTGAACACATATATCAACATGGCGTATTCTACTAGTAATCTTAATAAGAAACGCGGAGGAAAACGCTGTGTTGCTGGCGGACCTAATCTAATTAGTTGCGCCAATGATTCAAAAACCGAAGGATTGTCGATGCATCTGTTTCCTAGAAAAGAAACAGAGCCGCAAAGACATAGAAAATGGGTATATTTTGTGCGTAAACATAGACAGGGTTTTGAGGCTTCCTCTACCTCGTGTCTGTGTTCTTCATATTTTGAAGATTCTTGTTTTGACCTTAATTTGAGCGTGCAAGTCACGTTCAAAAGAAGGTTGAAGAAAGATGCTATCCCAACCATTGACGTGGCTGAGATTCCTGAACCATTACAGGACGAAATAACCGATCGAATGCGAAGACAAGTAAGTTTACGCTTGCTTATGTTATATTTTCTTTGTCATATGTAAATCGATATAAGTTTTGCAGATTATTCTGACATACTCTCCATAAGACAGTGGTCAGACATTGCTTGGAGCCTGTCTGGAATGGAAAGTAAGGCACCTCCTTCCCACCACAAGCCTGAGGGCTCACCTTAGGCATGTGATAGTACCCTCTAGTCTCCCTATCTGCTGTGTTATGCATGATATTTTCTCAGTGCTACCATCGAATGTCATTTTCTGCAAAGCTGGTCCTATTTCTTACAGCATCTGTACTCTAATGCGCCTTCTAACAATCGGTATGACAGCATTGACAATTACACCTGAAACGTGGGAGCATTGTGGTTTATAAAGTAACTTTATGTATATTACAAACAGGAGAAAACAACAACTTACCATCCACCGAGTGGAATTACGCCATCACTTCGTTGTTCTAATGTCACAGGAGAATTCCATCGGGATCATCTGGAGTATGCACTTCATCACCATCTCCTGCGAGGTTCATCGTCATATACGAAGTCGTTTAAATGCTCGACATAACCCACGGATTCAGAGCTTAAATCAGATACGCATTCAGACATCGAATTCGAATTATCTGAGCACTGATTTGAGGCCATACTTTCCGAAAACTTCTTTTATTATTTTATTGAAAATACTGTCATTATTTATTTTAAGAGAAGAAAAACGACAACAAAATCACCTTCCATAATATAATATTATATTGACGGAAACAGACGTGTTCAACTATTTACATCACAAGTATCAATATGGCGTCGTAAAATTCGCAAATAGTGCCCGACTTTGGAGGCAAAATTAAGGAACTTATATTTATCAGTTTAAGTCCAGCGACATGTCATAGTTCTTCAAATAATCCAAATTTCCAATTAAGCTCATAAAAGGGGCTAAAATTCGTAATATAAGCCCTTTGAAGTTTGGATGATGTAATGTATGTTAATTGTTATGTAAATGAGTATTCAAAATATATAAATATGCACTTGCTGAGAGGCAAATGATCCTCTTCTTACAATGCCAATATGGTGTCTTGACGTTACAATATCGTTCAGTTTTATAAATCATTTTATCATTCATAAGGAACAAGTTTTGAAATAAGTGTATAAAATGTATGTATTTTTGTTTACAACATCTATACAGGCATAATTTGATTTTGGTCGCAGTGCTTAACACAAAATTTTTATTGCTTCCAACCTTTCTTGTCTACTTTTTAATGCAAGAAGGTTTTGATTGTCATCCTCCAAAAAATTCAAATAAATAATTTTTGGCCCAGGAAAAACTAATCAACTCGTAAAGCAGGATTGTGTTTTGAAGAAAATTTAATGTTCCGAAATATTTTTATAAACGCAAAATAATTTTACTTGGGAAACGTTCCTGCATGACGGCAGTATGAATAAAACGATATTTTACTTCTCGTAAAATAGTGCATTTCTCAGGTACGGAGCACCCTTTGCTTGTGAAATCTTAGCCTTTAATATTACCCCTAGCGCTAACATGAAATATAATATACTAAATTGAAGATAATGTTGATGATCGTCGTCCTGATGCTGTCGTACGTCAAACATTGTCTCGTGTAGCTCCTGCAAAACGGTATCTGCATGGAATTAAATATTTTCTGCGTATTCAAGAAACTTTGATTAGTAGAAAAATTTGTCGAATTTAAAACAAAGAACAAATAACAAGCCTTCATTTCTCTAAATGCATTCAACGAAAAACGAACACGATAACATCAAGTGTAAAGACACATCTTAAATTAGGTATGAATGTACCCTAAAATATTTATCAACCAGACAACCAAAACCTGTATGCAAAGTGAGTTTCAATATATTTGAGTCATACTCCTCAGTTTTATCTAATTTCAAACATTCCAACACATTTAAAGTAAACGTGTATATAGTATATAAATATATGTTGAGAAACCTTAAATTAAATTTTCTCTCAAGGGCAGCTGTCAAGCTTCCCTTCCCCACTATTTACGGCCCTTCTGTGAGTACGATAATTTAAAAATTGTAAAATATTATACGAAAATTATTGCAGTGCATTATATTACCATCGTTAAGGAACGAAAAGATTAAAATTTGGTAAAAAATTGAACGAGAAATAAACAAAAAATTTATTTCGCTTTACAAAACTATAACTGAATGCGTGTACAGTTATAGGTTAAGGAATCTTTAAATACGTTTTAGTTAGGAATAGATTTGAATGTGTACAATGCATGTATATAAAATAAATTTAAGTCGATGAACTTTTCCCCTTATTTTAAACGTTGTCTAAAAACTAAATGTCAATAGAAATATAGTTATCTTATCAAGAAGGCGTCAAGATGAGAAACAAAAACTTCAGTGACGAAATCAATGGAAGTATTGCGCTTTCTACAATTTGCATGATTTTGCTAAAATTACATTTTCTAGTTTTTTTGATTACCGTGAATTTGTTATATGTTGCAACTACTATGAATCCTCAATTATTAATGCTGAACATTTTCATCTGTTAAAGATTATTACGACACTTACATTATGTAATGATTATGAAGCACTTTTGCACATCTTTGCAAATATATCCTCATCGGCTTAAAGGTTGCTGGCGTTTGTTTTTTTACAAAACACAAGCTTCGTTCAGACCCCGTCCACACGTATACGGATATTTTCGTATCCGCAACTTTTTTGTTGCGGATCAGGTAGCACAAAAAATGTTGTTGCGTCCACACACGTACACGGATATTATCCGGATTTACTCTAGTTCCCATGACTTTTAGCGCTATCAGTTACCCGCACATATTTTATAACTTGGCGATAAATTGGTTAGCAATTGTGAATTTGGTCAGTGTTAAAGGTTTTTCGGCTTTGTCTGATTAAACATGTCATTATTTGGTCAGAAATCGAAGGAAAATGAGAAAAGCAAGACGGACTCCTTTATTTGGAGTGATGATGAGGTCGAACTCTTACTAAAAGTAACATTAGAATATAAAACATCCAACGCTATGGAGAATGTCGATTGGGAATCGATCAGAAGCAAGTATGATGACATTTTTAAACGTTTCATTGAGCAGTATCGTTTGTCGGAAAATGCCCTGATGATGGGAAAGATTACCCCACCTAAACGAAGAACTTTCCAAATCAGTGTTGACATCCAAATTAAAAATGGTTCGAAAGAAGTTCAGGGAAGCTGTTGATTCAGGTAGGAAAAGTAGACATGGCCGCGTAGTATCGCTATACTTTGAACTATGCGAGCAAATATGGGGTGGTTCTCCTGCCACAAGTACGATAGCAGATGGAATCGAGACCGCTGAAATCGACGACGAACACAGCTTGAACCCAGAAAGTCAATATTATATGCTTAATGGAACTATCAGCCCTGAATTAGAAAATGAAAATAGCCCTGGTGATGCAACTAGTGATGCTAACATATCAACAGACAATGTCTCAACCTCCAGTAGCTCATCTTCCAGGGGTCAAGTCAAAGAGAGAAGGGACCTCTTTAATGCAAGATTACAAGGATACAAGAGTGAGAAACTCAAAAGAAAAATGCCTGTTGATGCACAACTCATTAACATATCACATGAAGAACTTCAAATAAAGAAACAACTCCTAGAGAGAATGGATAACATGACAAGGCTTACTCCAACCAAATGCAAAAGCTCTCTGGTAACATGGAAAAACTCACTGATTCAATATCTAAAGGATTTGTTTTATTGAGGCAAATGATGTGTCCTGCACCAGGTGTGATTCAGCCACAGTACATTGCTCCCCAGGCAAACTACAGCATGCTCAACTACAGCAACACACAACATGCTTCTCAGCTAAACACTCCAGCGGCACATAGCGGACAATTTTTGAACTCTCAGTCCTTGTACTCAGACAATGAGAGTAGTTTTTAAGCTGTAGTAAGGAGATATGTTATATATTAGATATTATTAATTTCTTGAGATTTATGACATTGAAAATATTGTTGGTTTTGTTCAAAGTTTATAATACATCTTATTAAAGATGATGCATACTGTAAATGATATATAAGATTATAAAATATTATTGGTATATTTAATTATTGCTGGTATATTGAATTGTTACTTGTATTTTGCATGCACTCTGATGATATAATTAACTGTACATTTATGGAGCAAATTCAACCAGAAGTTTATGGTAAGTTTCTCACTCTAAGTGTTCATGAAACAATTCAAACCGAAAAATTACAGTAAAAGTTGACAAAACAACGAAAGTTATTAGCTACATAAAGGCCTGCAACATGATGCTATTTTTGATGCAACTTGAAACATTAATTTGCTTTTAATTGAGTAATGTAAAATCAGCTAAAAAGCAGTTTTTTGCATTGTGCTAATGAATTTATACTAATGCATATTCATCAACTTAACTCTTTCTCTTATTAACATGTAGAATTTTGCTTCAAGTTACAAGAGATAGCACATCATGTAATCTGGCTGAGTAAATACTGTAGAGTTTTAAGGGTCAAAATAATTTGTGAGAACTCTCCTTATTTTCTTCCCTTCAGCTTCATTACAATCTGTTCTGTAGTTGTTGTGACTAGGTGCTGGCTGAAATTGGCTATCATAATCAATAGCTGAACAAACTTTGTCTTCTCCAATAATCTCTTTGTGAACTTCACAAAAGTTGTGAAGGACAAAACATGCATAGACAACAGTAGAGATATCTTTAATGTTTATGTCCATTGCCCTCTTCAAAGCCCCAAGCCTTGCTTTTAGACGACCAAATGCGCATTCAATCACCATTCTTGATTGGCAAAGGGTCATACCAAAATATTGCTCCTGAACTGTTGAACCTCCATTTGAGTATTCCTTCATGAGGTATGGCATAAGGGGATAGGCTGGATCTCCTAACAAGAATACTGGAATGGGATCCTCATCTGAAAGTATTTGTCGTGGGCATGGAGGTATTTCCCTACTCTTAAGAAAATAATTTAACTTTGAGTTGGAAAATACTCGGGCATCGTGAACACTCCCCGGCCACTTGACGACGACGTCCATAAAGCAATACTTATAGTCACATGCAGCTTGAATATTTAATGCATACCGTCCTTTTCTATTTATGAAATCTGTGGAATTACATGCTGGTTGCCTAATTTCGATATGCGTACCGTCAATTGCGCCCAAACATTGAGGAAAGCCGTGCAATCTGTGGAAGTTCCTGATATGCCTCTCAACATCTTCTTTTGTGAATGGCAGTTTAATATATTCAGGTCCAAGTCGAATCGTGATAGCTTTACACACTTTACGAATTATTTTGGATACAACTTGACGCGATAATCCAAAGGCATTCGCTGTTTTTCGCATACGCCCCTCGTCACTTAAGTAATAGAGTGTGACCGCTACCTGCTTAACCACATCTACTGGGGACCGCATTATTGTTGTCTTGCCTTCTATGTATGGTCTAAGTTCGTCAGCTAATTCGTGGAGAGAACGTCGACTCATGCGAAAATTTTCACGCCATTCTTCTTCTATCACAGTTTGCCTGACAAAATTGTCCCACCAAGCGCTTTTACGTCCTGGTCGGACCCAATTTCTTCGACGACGAAATTGTTTTCCTGCTCGTTTTACTTGTTTATAGCGTCTGATCCGTGCATCAGACATGGAAATAAGCCTGAGGATATCAAGCTTGCGTTTGCAATAGTTGAAGTGTACAGAAAAAATTGCTAAGGTCAACTGAACACACGTTACAAGACTGGAAATAAGTCCAAGTAAAAGAGCAATGGTAACTGTATTAGTGGCCACCATGTTGAAAATTTGCGCTATAACAGTTGCTAGGCAATTCTGGTTACAAAAATATCCGGATTTACCGTCCACACGCATCCAAATTGTTTGCGGATACAAAAATTTTCACTCTAGAGAGCGGATTCAAAAGTTTCGGGATAACTCTCTGAAATATTCGAATGCGTGTGGACGAAAGGCCTATCCGCAACTTTTTTGTTGCGGATACGAAAATATCCGTATACGTGTGGACGGGGTCTCAGTCTTCATTTTGTAACAAAAAAGACGAAAAGTCTAAAACCTGACTCGTTTTCGTCATGCCTCATGTTCGGCAAGTATGTAGAGACCAAAGGGGGTGGGGTGTTGAAGGGGTGCATTCCTACCTGACCCACCTTTATCTTTTCTTTTTCTATTTGAAGATCACTGAAATTGTGAACCATACGCACAAGCTTCTTGTACTCCTAACTTTTCAACATTTAGTACTGAAAGTGAATAAACAGACTTTTCTTTTCTTTTTCAGTGATGCTTACGTTCGTATGGCGACGCTGTTAACCAAAAAATAGCTACTCGCTGCGCCAAGCTGTATTTACGCGTCCATTCTAAAATCGCTTAAATATTTATAGGTTTTTAAAACTAATAAGTGTCGAGATATTGTGGCATCTGTCAACGATTTTCTAAGATAATCGTTTGAAAGTAGCAATAGAAATAAAATAAAACTATTGCTTTATTTGATGTATCAATTTGAAACCATCATTAGATGAAAATTGTCACACTTTAAATTCATGTGCACAGATGCAGCTTTAAAAATTGGAAAAACTATGAAACGACGAGAGTTTTAATCATATATATGTTTAAACTCATTGCTTAATTGTATACCGTAGGTATCTCTTTATAACCATTGAAGTAAAGCGAAGATATTTTTAAGATCAGTAAGATACATTGCGTGACTCATAATTACCGCAAGTTCGAATTAAAAAATTGTTTACGTTAGATTTTTGAGATTTAAGATACCAAAGTTAAAAGTAATTTGAAGTGTGGCCTCAGATAGCGCAATATAGGAATAACAGATACACCTATAGGTAGTTCCAAAAGAACTTTTAAAACTTAAAATAACACTGTATATTTTTTGGACAATTTATCTGTTCTCAAAATCATCTAATTGTGAAAGTATTTAGACGTGCTATAACCGATTTTTAGTTTGATGACATCATGTTGTGTAAGATGTTCAAAACAAACCTCTTATCATGCATGACGCGGCATGTTTGTGAATTTTTATACAAAATAAAATCTAAAAAGAGTTTCTGCTTCCACTCTGAGCAAAAATTCTTTATGTTTTTGAAATTTCAAGAATTTTAGACATTTCAACTTTCTATCAAAGCTGAAATTTTGTAGCTGTAGCCGGAGCTGGCTTATACAAAAGCATTGTGCCATTGCTTTGATATTTCACTTTCATAACAACAGACAATATTTCCTTTAAATTATCGTCCATGCATTGAAACATTTTTATCACTTTTTTTCAAAAGTTCTTAATAAGCATTTTTTTAAAAATAGTTGAAAAGAAATACAGTAGCAATACTTACAAATTGCGACTGCTGTTCATTGCAAATTTCAAGCAAATAATTTATTTAATTTAAATTGCGTTTACGCTTTCTTGGGAATTATTTAATATTGTTCATCCAACACATTATGTATCACACATTATGTATGAATAAAGATGCATGTATATACTATTTATAGAAGAAATATTAAAACATCCATTTTATTTGGATGTATGCTCATCATTTTGAAACAGCAGCTTTTACGCAAATTGTCTTATTTGTCATTAATGTATACCAGGCACGGCACCGAAATGCGGCATTTTTATCGAGATAAATCTTTGTTAACATTTAGCTACATATTTTAGCTACATATTTTAGCTACATATTTTAGCTACATATTTTAGCTACATATTTTAGCTACATATTTTAGCTACATATTTTAGCTACATATTTTAGCTACATATTTTAGCTACATATTTTAGCTACATATTTTAGCTACATATTTTAGCTAAAAGTGAGGCAAAACGAAGAATTTTAAGAAATAACTTTAAAAATTAGAAGAATTTTGGAAAGGAGTAAGTTGTAGTCTTATGTTTAAACAATTATACCCATAGATTGCAACACGTTTATTAAAATTCTGTGACAATCATCATCATCATCATCATCATCATCATCATCATCATCAGCCTGTCACGCCACTGCTGGCGGATGGCCTCCACATCTTTCTCCACTCTTCACGGTCTTGGGCTCTCTGGATCCACATGCTGCTTGCTCTCTGCTCCATGTCATCTCTCTATCTTCTTTTGGTCTTCCCTTGTCCCTTTTCTTGTCTTATGGAGTCCATTCAGTTGTTTTCTTTGCCCAGTCATGGTTTTTCATTCGGGCTAGATGTCCTGCCCACGTTCCTTTGGCTTCAATAACTTTCTCGATGATATCCTTCACCTTTGTTCTTGCTCTCAGGTCTTCATTCCGAATCTTATCTCTCTTCGTGACAACGAGCATTGATCTTTCCATACTCCTTTATGTGATTGTCAGTTTCTCTCTTTGATGGTTGGTAAGTGCCCACGTCTCCGCTCTATAAGTCATTGCTGGTAGTATGACAGTGTCCATGATCTTCCTTTTGAGACACATGGGCATTCTTTGATCTCTCATAAACATGCTGTACTTTCCAAATCTCTTCCAAGCTGATGTTATTCTCTCATCTATTTCTCAAGCCAGCTCATTTCCTGGTGTTAGTAGTTTTCCCAAATACTTGTACTCTTCAACCTCTTCCAGCCGTTCTCCAGCAATCAATATTGCTTTTCATCTCCTTCTCTTCGCTATTTCATTGCAAATGATCTTTGTCTTCTTTTTGTTCATTTTCATTCCATCTTTCCTCCCTTCTTCGTTTAGATCGTTCAAAAGTTTGCTGAGGTGTTCTTCCTTTTCAGCAAATAAGATGATATCATAAACAAATCTCAGGTTGTTCATCCTCTCTCCATTGATGTTAATTCCCAATTCAACTTCCATTCTACTGAATATTTCTTCCAGCGCTGCTGTAAACATCACTGGTGACAAGGTGTCTCCTTGCCTCACTCCCTTCATGATCTTGATTTTTCGGCTAGTTGATTCAGTTCGAACCTGAGCTGAGCCTCCATCGTATGTTTCGTATAGGATGTTGATGTACTTTTCCTGTACGCTGTGCTGTTTTAGCACCTCAATGACAGCCTTATGGTGGATGAAGTCAAAGGCTTTTTCATAGTCTACAAATGTAATGTGGATGGGTATTTTATACTCATTGGTTTTCTCGAGTATTTGCACAACTGACTGCAGATGGTAGATGGTGGAATGACCTCTTCTGTAGGCTGCTTGTTCTGGTGGTTGGTGGTCACTAAGGGTGTTGTTTAATCTATTTTTCAAGATCTTCATGAAGAGTTTGTAGACTTGGGAGAGTAAGCTGATTGGTCTGTAGTTTGCGAGGTCTTTCTTATCTCACTTCTTAAATATGAGTGTGATGATGGCATTTTTCTACCCGTTTCGCTTTTTTTCTTCAGTCATCACTCTATTGAAGAGTGTCCTCAGCTTCGGTCTGACCACTTCTCCTCCCGCTTTTAGCATTTCAATCACAACCTAATCTTCTCCTGGTGCTTTGTTGTTCTTCATACTTTTAATTGCGTGCTCAATTTCACTGTCAAGGATCGGTGGTATATCCTCTGCCTCTTCTTTTCTGATGTTCTGGGCTGCATCTTGGTATAGGTTTTCATAAAATTCTGCGCACCTCTCAAGAATTCTCTCTCTGTTATTGATGACGGTTCCATCTTGTTCCTCTAAAGTTGTTATAAGAACCTTGCAGCCTTCTTTCTCTTTAGCTCTCTTCAATCCTTTCCCACTCTCAATTGCTTCCTTCACTTGCATGGTGTTGTGCTCTCTGAGGTCTTTTCTCATTCTCTTCCTGATGGTCTTACAAAGTTCATTGTACTCTCATCTCTCCTGGTCATTCAGATCTCTCTTTTTCTCTTCTCTCTTTCAACAGTTCTTTTGTTTCAGGCTTGAACTTTTCCTCTTTTCGTCTTTCATCTCTTCCAGCTGTTTCCATGGCACATTCTTCGATAAACTTTGTGATGTTAAGGGCCATTTCCTCCACACTGTCTTCTTGTAAGGTTTCGAAGCGGTTCTACAACTTCAGTTGGAATTCAGTCTCTTTTAGCTTCAAAGCGTTGGTGTTGACCTTCGCACCTTTCGGCCTCATCATTTCCATTCTCTCCAATCTTACATTCATCTTGATCTTGCTTCTCATCATTCTGTGATCACTGCCGATGTTTACTCTTGTGATCACGTTAACATTCTGGATCATGCTCTTGTTTGCCAGTATGTAATCGATATCATTCTTTGTTTCTCCATTTGGACTTCTCCATGTCCGTTTTCTGCTCCTTCTTTTTCTGTAATAAGTGCTCGCGATTTTCAAGCCTTTTGATTTTGCAAATTGCACCAGTCTGGTTCCTTTTTCATTTCTTTCTCCTAGGCCAAAATTCCCGACCGTTGTTCCGTCGCTCCTATGGTGTTTTCCAACCTTTGCATTGAAGTCGCCCATTACGATCTTAAATTGACTTCTGTTGCTATCCATTGATCTTTCAATCTCTTAGTACCACTCTTCAACTTCTTCATCGCTGTGACTTGATGTTTGTGCATACACTTGTATCACTTGTAGTTGGTATTTGCTGTTCACTTTCAGTGTTAGCGATGTCACTCTGCTACTCTCCTCCTTCATACTCTACAACTCGGTCCTTGATGTTGTTGTGAACCAGAAATCCAACTCCTCCGGACGATTCATTCCCTCCTTTTGTGTACAGTGTATGCCCACTTTGT